GGGTTTTTTTTGGGGGGGGGGGTGTCTCTGCCAGACTCCAATCCCCATCGTCCCCTGCCCCGTCAAAGCACCTGGGCGTTCTGCAGGATGTTGTTCACCAGGACGACCCTCCGCCGGGCGTTGAGCAACTTCTTGACGTAGGGATCCAAATCCAGGGCAACTTTCTGGTCCTCATTGATCCGGCAGAGCTCTGGGAGGGAAGGAGGGGGAAATTGTGGTGGGGGGGCTTTGAGGAGGGGGGTGGGGGTGGGGTGGAGCAAGGTGGGCAGACTTACCTGCCGCCAGGCTGTCGATGTGCTCCCGCAGCTCCACCTGGCTCTCCCTGTCGGAGAGACACGAAAGACGGCCTGAATTGGGTCTGGGGGGCCTTTTAACACCCCCCACCCACCCAAAGCTGCTGCACCTGACGGATTTCATCCCCCACCTGCCTGGCTTTGAAGTCAAGAAGCCCCTTGCCTTGCAGGGAAGCTGCACCGGACGGACGCCCACCTGTCTGGGAGCTGCCTAAAGACACACACACAGGGATGGCGTGGGTGGGTGGGCGTGTCCAGGGAAAGGGAACCTACACCTGACGGATTTCATCCCCTCCCTCACCTGCCTGGCTCTGAACGCAAAAGCCCACCCTGGCCTTAGAAACGAGGAAGCTGCACCAGATGGACACCTGCCTGCCTCTGAGCGCCTCCCTCCTTGCCTGGCGGTGTGTCCAGGTAAAGGAAAGCTGCACCTGGCGGATTTCAGACCCCTTCCTACCTGCCTGGCTTTGAATGCAAAAATAGGGAAGCTGCACCCGCCCGCCCGCTTACCGGACTGCGTGGACGTGGCTGTCCAGCTGCCCCACGGCCGGCCGCAGGAACTCCAGCAGCCCCTCGGCGAAGACGTCCCGGTCTACCGGCCCCGCCGGGCTGGAAAGGCCCGCCGTGGCCGCCATGACTGCTAATGTCTGCCGGAAGGATCTGCGCCCGCGCAGCAGCCCGACGGGGAGGGTGGAGCGCGCCGGCGCAAGAGCCCCACCGGAAAAGGCGTCTCCTTGCCGAAAGGCAAGCTGGGAATTGGAGTCTTTCCGGATGTGTATAGGGGCGGGGTCAGATTCCCTTCCCCAGGGTGCTTTGATCTAATGACTCCTGCATATAGAATTCCCAAGGGCGCCTTGCGGAGGACAGAACAGAGTTGGAAGGGACCTTGTAGGTCATCTAGTCCAACCCCATTCCCCCGCAAAAAGGAGACCCTACCCCATTTTCTGGCAGGTGTAGGCAGTCCAGTCTCTTCCTTCTTGAAAGCTTCCAGGGATGGACACCCCGCCCCCCCCACTTCTGAAGGCCAGAAGCTTTTATTGGAAACCCCGCAATAAAACTTTAATCGAAAGCCTTCCTAGATTTATTTTATAAATAAATCTTAATCAAGTATCCCGCTCATTTGCAAGATTATTAGTTTATCAAACTCGGTAAGCGGATAAAAGCAAAACCAGTCAAGTATTCCATTCTGTTCCTCCTCCCGTTAAAGCCAACATTTATTTTCCTTTTCTGTTAGAAAACCCAGAGACCAAACTTGAATAATCCTCTATTAGGAATGGATCCCACCTCCCCATTAACATGCCTCCATCTGTGAATTGAGTCTAGCAGTGTGCATAGATTTATTCTATGATTTATACATTTATTCTATGATTTATATATTTATTCATAGATTTATACACACACTCCCTATACACCATCTTTTGATTGTGAGCTACCGGTGGCTCAAACGGGCAGCCGATAAATTCTTATCAATTAAATCCAACCCAGCCCAGCACAAAGAATGAAGCGTGGGGTGAGTGGAGCCCCTTCCGATCCCCAATCCCAAGGGCTGGTTCCCCACCCCACATATTGGGGTTTGTTGATTTTTGCACAAAAGGACCACCTGGCTGGTGTGCCACACAGACCGATTTGAGCTTCGGGTCGCAACAACACAAGAGAATATGTGTGTGTGTGTGTGTGTGTATGTGTCGTATTTCCAAAATTTAGCACGGAAGATGCTGGCAAGGACGCCCAAAGGCAACAAGCCATGCTAGGGAACCAAGGACATTCCTGAGCTGGTCCCCCTTCGAATTTTTTAAGCTCAAACTTTGAGCACCATTTGAGAACTTTGCTCTGTGCCAAGGAAAACGAGAGACGGTTTTTGTTTTGAGTTGAATTGGCTCCGTACCCTCATTTCAGTACGAAACTAGGTGGTTGGGCTTAGTTTTTAGAGAGGAAAATAAGGGGGAGGAAATTCTGCCTCTGCCTACCAGCATCCATTGGGTATTCATCTGGCTAGCTTACTGAGTGTTGAGGGTTGTTTGGAAACTGAAACAGTATTTGCTAGGGGAGCACGAAGGAGACAGCGAGGAGCCTGGGCGAGGCTGAGCTCAACTGTTCTGGACTAAAGCTGCTTGGGGCTGCTGGGAAACTGGAACTCCTCTGCTTGTGTTTTGCATTGGGAAGAGATTTCTTTTCAGGTGGACGGGGGAGTAGAACTGCTTAGCATCAGAGCATAATAATAATAATAATAATAATAATAATAAATAATAATAAATAATAATAATAAATAATAATAATAATAATAATAATAATAATAATAATAATAATAATAATAATAATAAACTCAATAACCTGGTGCCTATGTGATAATGTCGGCTTCCTTTAGCCTTGATTGACAGATAATATAGGAAATACTCTAAATGCTCTGAGGGTCATTTGGAAAAATCCTTTCTTAGTGAGCCCCTAAAAGCCAAGAGGAACCTACGGGTCAAATTTAAAGTTTGTAGGCTGTACGGTTCTGGAGACTTTGGGATGATGCATTAAGTGAAACTTCACTGATATATATACATATATACATACATACATACACACATACACACACACACACACACACACACATTATAGACTTGTTTATTTAGCTGCCTATGGAAGTTGAGATATATGGGACATTTAGGGAACTACATAGGAAATTTAAAAGGAAAATCTCGGCAGACGGTGGCCAGCCCCCCCAGCAGCACCCTGGATTCACCATTTGGAGGAGTCCTTGGCAATGGGCAACTTTTCTTTTGTGTGTGTT